GATGTGTGTTCTCTTCTGAGATGCGAGTGTTGTAATGTTGGATGTGTGTGTGTCTTCGTATTGATTGAGTTATGACGTGTAGGGGTAGATGTGGTGGGGGTAGGTGGTGGGGTTGTGTTATGTTGTTCTGTATAAATTGTGTGTAATTCCTGAAATGATATAATGAAAATAAGTAAGAATATAATACAACACAGTCATAACATAAACACAAATATACAAAGTGAAATTATGTGCATATTGAACACTATACTGAACCAAAATTATTTTCAATATGAACAGAAATTTTACAAACAAACAGATGGTTTAGCTATGGGAGCTCCAACATCTGCAATCTTAGCAGAAATATATATACAGAACATGGAAGACACAAATATACGATATATTAATGAAACAGAACATAATCGGATATTTCCGATATGTTGACGACATACTAATATTATATGATATAAACAAAACAAATATTGATGACATGATTATAGAATTTAATAAACTGGAACCAACGATAAATTTCACAATAGAGAAAGAGAACGATAAGTCTCTAAATTTCCTAGATATAGGAATATATAGAGAAACAGAAAATTTGCAATTTTCAATCCACCGCAAACACACAGCAGCAGACATAATAATACCAAGTGACTCATGTCATCCACAAGAACACAAGATATCTGGTATTAAATACCTTATAGATCGGGTAAATAATTACCCCATCACCAAAGTAGCAAAAGATACTGAGATAGCCACTATAAATAACATACTCGTAAACAATAAGTACAACACAGATATAATTATAAAATAACTACAAATAAAAGAAACCAAAACATTACAAAAAAACAGAACATCACAGAGAATTCAGAAGAACAAAAAACGAAATGGGCAACATTCACATACATAGGAAAAGAAACAAGAAACATTACAAAAATATTTCGTGACACAAAATTAAAAATAGCATTTAGAACTAAGAATAATTTACAACATATTTTAAAATCAGAAACACAAACGAGTAAATATAACAAGAGTGGCATATACAGAATGAAATGCCTAGATTGCCCCATGGAATATATAGGACAAGCTGGGAGAAAATTTAATACCAGATGTAAAGAACACATACATGACATAAGACACAATAACAGCAATACAGGATACTTGCAACACACATTAAACACAATACATGCATATGGTACAATAGAAAATACTATGGATATCATAGCAACGAATAAGAAAGGACAATATTTAAACACATTAGAAAACTACCATATATACAGAACAACAAAGAAAAACACACATATGAACAATATAAATAAGGAAATATATAACCCAATATTTCAGGAATTACACACAATTTACACAGAACAACATAACACAACCCCACCACATCTACCCCTACCACGTCATAACTCAATCAATATGAAGACACACACACATCCAACATTACAACACTCGCAGCTAAGAAGGGAACGCACACCACAAGACACGGTGAGTACTAAACATTATAATACAACACATAACAGATAGAAGCCGAAAATAATCATAATAAGTATTTTTTTCACGTTGCAGGTTTACACAGAATATAAGAAAAATGACCCCCATAGTGGAAGAACCACACGCAAGTTTTAATTATGACACATAAGATGAATAATCTTAACAAGTTTTAGTCTGTGTAAATTTATTATAGTTGACAAATACGCACTTTTTAAATACTTTTTAAGTAATTTTATAAACGCAAGCAATGAAATAGATTAGCATAATTAGGGCACCTGATGATGGCACTATGTTGCCGAAACATGTCATGAAGTAATGGGTGAAATTGAGTGCACTACAAGACGGCAACTGTATACATATCATGGATGAAATTTTCATTTTGATTTGTATGTCTACTTGAAATGAAATTCAAATTTTAGATCAGATTTCTGAAGACAGCCCATCTTATTAGAGTACTTTGCATGATGTGTACGTCTAATTGTCTATGAAATTTATTTGAAATCTTTCCACTATGTTAAATATGCAAAGAAGTACAAAGGAAAAATAATGTTTGTGTAGAGTAATATTATCAATGTTGATTAATTTTGTTAACGGCAAAACTCATGATTGTGTTGTAGTATCTCTGCCATATAGTTTCCAATTGTTTATTTGCTAATCATCTTACCATTTGATGCTCTGTAGTCAGAGCTACTAACATTGGCATTAAATAAATCTAAAATTAGTTCTGTCAATTAAAATTTGGTCCAGCGACAAATTGAAAGAATGTATCTGGAAACTGCTTAAAACTGAGGTGAAGCTTTCCATTATTGCTTCATACTCAGTCTGGACTCAATCATAATTGAGTCTTATTATAACTGGAAGTGTAATCTATTCACTTTGAAATTTTATGCCCAGTAGTATTAAATTACCAACAGTAGGTACAGTTTGTAAGATTTTCTGTTTTCAACAATCAATTTTTGCCCACACCATTTCATAATCTGCCCTGTGTTTCTGCAATACACATGCCATATTCACTCTGAGCAACAGATAACACTATTACATGAGGCTCATTATTTCTGTACTTCAGATTTTCGCTTGTACCCGCATCAAGCATACTATCAACATTTTTTAGTTGTAACTGCTAACAATTTTCTGTCTTCATGACATAGTTTTAGTATAACCTTTGCACAATATTTAGCTTTCATATTAATATATGTATTGGGGGTCAGTAAATTCATATTATAAGTATACAGTTGACCTTTGGTAAATATGAGAGTTGCATTCCTAGAAAAAGAAGAAAGAAAGCTGTGTAGTAGATAAAATAGTTGCCCTTGCCCGGAACTGAACCCTGGCCGTCCCACATGCAGCTCTTCGCTATATGTATATATATACTATATGTACTAAGCTATCCCAGCCCCTTTTTACTTTCAATAGCCGCGTCTAGCTTAGTGTGGCCAGATTGCCCATGTGCTTTGAAACGCACTCGCACGTGAGCGTGACGGTTACCGAATTTGCAGGCGAAAGATGAAGAGTGAGCTTCCGTGGAATCATGCACGGATCCATTCGATTCGTCGATCCTCCTGGGTGCAATAGCTGAAAGTTTACACGAAATCGAATGCATTTCAGCGTCCTTGCAAATGGTTTGGTAAACCCCATGCGTCAGTTATACAGGAAATACAGTAAAACAGTATTGACAATATATAGATAATAGAACTACTTATGTTATTGCAGAAATATAGAATAATGCAGCATAACTTACGTTTAACAAATATAGTAATTGTATTCATATGCATGCTCTCATATACATGTATCTCTTTGCATGCTTCAGGTTCAATACAAATATTCTCTAAAAAGTTTTGGAGATCTTCAATATTGTTATATTGGTACCAGAACAGTTGCTTACTGGGAAATTGTTCCGACGTGTAGTATCTGACTCGTCGGCCTTTTGTGGAATGGCGGATGGAATTGTATGAGAGTGATTTGGGCTATTTGGTTAAAATTTGTTGTTGAAGATGGTAAGTTAATGTGCGGTCGATATCGGTACAAATTCAGAAAATGTTATTGTATTTCTGCTTTTAAATATGTTAATATGTAGTACATTTTGCTTATGAATGTACCACGTGGTTCACGAGGAGTGCTACATAAGAGCTAAGATTAGGCCCCTCTTTATCAGTATAGGTATAAAATAAGTAATTACTTTTGAGATTGGTTTCAAGTAGTGTAAGGAGCTTTGTTACTTGGACATTGTACTGAATTTCTCGACATTCCATTAACTAGAATAGTTAAATTTACGTAGGATTTAAGGCTTTTTCAGTGGTGTTTATGAAGGGTACTATCTTCTGGGATATAACGCCGCGCAGTCCGTTGAAAGTCGCCGACGTGTTGGAGGAACATCATCTCCATCTTCAGGGTCGAATAAACAGGAAGATACCAATAGCTTACATGCTCGTATCCAACTCGGCTTATTCGTCCCAGAAGATGGAGGCGATATGTTCCTCCGAAACGTTGGTTGACTACACTGCGTTATATCCCAGAATACAGTAGTGTTCAGTTCATTTTACGTTTGTACTGTATGTGGAGTTCGTGTTGAATGCCTGGAAAGTACAGTAACCTCGGTGTTACTGGCAGCGGGAAGTGAATATAATTTTTATGTACTAGGGTGAAAGTACCGTGTGGTTGTGATGTGGATACAGTAGCGAATCTAAAGTAAGAGTTGGCATCGATATTTTCTTCCACTTCGGAAGTATGTTTGGTGGTGTTTAGCTCCCCAAGCCCTCTGTTATAAGTAAGTGGGGTTTGAATATAAGAATTGGGTTGTTAGTTAATGCACTGTATATGTCCACATCTTTGCAAATGCCATTTGCTTGGATGTTCCTGAAATGTGCTATATTATGAGCGGTTCTGAAGGCATTCTCTTTCATATTGTGTAAGAGATCTCAAGGGAACCAACAAATCCACGTTTCATGTTTGCATTTTTTGAAAATTTGCAGTGACAATACCCTGACTTGGTTATTTGTGTTTTCAGTCGCTATCAGCAGCACGTCCTCTTATTAGTATATACAATGACAAAAATGAGCCATTGGGCACAACTGTTGCTTTGCCTGCAGTCTTCAAGGCCCCAATTAGGCCTGATATTGTGAATTTTGTGCATGATAATATGGCAAAGAATCATCGTCAGCCATACTCTGTAAACAAAGATGCAGGTATAGTAAAGTTTTGAAAGTTGGTAGCATTATAACTTTGTGTTGAACTCTCTTTTTATGTTGAAAGGGCATGACAGGGAGAGAAAATTTTATAAGACAGTAATGTTACAGGATGTGGAGCCAATGGGAATATAATGTATTCAGTTTTTCCACTAACATGCTGTATGTATTCCTTGTCTTACATTTCCTGTATTATACCAAGAGTTCACTATTATAATGTTAGATTACACTCAGAAGTGACAGATGTAATTTTGTTTTCCAGGGAGTAGCACTTCTGGATACCACCTATCCTTAGTGGTTTTTCTTAGTTGTCAGACTCAAGTTGGACATGACCGATCCACAATTCTTCCCAGTCATTCATTAGTCAACGCACATGTCTGGTTTATTTTGTCTGTAGCCGATTATAAAGCACATTTCTGTTTGTGCCTTTTGCTGGTTATGTATATTTGGAAATATTCTCACATCAGTTGTTACACATAACTATGTATTTATTGTTGATGGTTTTGTGGAGTCCTGTAGATTGTAGCCTTCAGTGGCAGGATGATGAATTGGAAAAGGATTAGGAAGAAAGCTGTTTTTCTGGGTGGGGGCTGAGGAAAAATGAAAAGCCTCAGTCAGGGCAACCAATGTCTTTGCTCAGATTCAAACTCAGCACCTCCCAAATATGAGTGTAAGGCATTACCTCTATGCCAACCCACCTAGTTTTTTTTTTGTTCCATGTTATGTTTATCATATCCTGATGTCATTACCAGCCTGTTAAAAAATCTGTGACCTACTTTAAGGTATTTGTTTTTCCCTAACAAATTATCAGTATAAACAGGCATCTCATCTGCATGTTCTGGAGCAGAATTGGTACACAGTAAGGATAAAACATCCCCTTATTTTAACTTTTTATGAAATGGGGAAGCATGTAGGGTTTGTGGTTCTTGCAACAGTAGTTATGAAGAGTTCTTTCTTCTGAGATATAAAGCCATTCAGTCCATTGAAATTCAGCTGATGTTTCAGAGGAATGTATTGCCTCCATCTTCAGGGTGGAAGAATAAACCAAGCAAGAAATCAGCATAGCTGCCACTGTAGTTTGTATGGCTTATTCTTTGACCCAGAAAATGAACTTAGAGGTGTTATATACTGGAAGATTGAGGTCATCTTGTACATGTACAGTAGAACTTGGTTATAACGTCATCAAAGGGACCTAAAAATAGTGTCGTTATAAATGAATGTCGTCGTAACCGAAATGGCCACTTCCACAGTAGCCTTATGTTAGTCACCTAAAAATCTACCAAAAACCGAGTTAAAATGTTGCATTTTTTAGTGAAATACGTAGTTAAGTACAGACTAACGTAACATTAACGTGGAATTGCCCAAATGCGTAATATCAAAGACATATTACAGCGCTTTTCACTGACAATACACACAATATTTCACGAATCACTTTAACTTTCTCTTCAATGCTTAAAACTTTCCTTTTCATTGCCATGTTTTCGCTACTGCACTTCTCTGGGTTTAGGCAGGAACACTATAGGGTAAGTAGACAATGTGAGGTCCTGTTAGACGAGATTCTAGGAAAGGAATGCAGTTAACAACCTGCCGCGTCCTCTTGCACTATTCACGCAGTCCCACCCCACACCCTTGTTTTCGCATAAAACCCACGCTCCTCTTGCAGCCCGCGGTCGTATTCTTCCAGGACAGTCACGTCAGCAAGTAGAGAAAGTGAGGGTGGGCAGACACATCGAACTTTCCCACGATATCAGAGAAATTCAGGAATGAAAATGACGTTACATACGAGGTTGATGCATTTGTGCATGTCGTACTAAGCAAGGTATAAAAACAGTTGCTTTATGAGGAATTAGTTCGTACCATTGAATATTTGACGCAATAGACAAGGTGTCGCAGAAACCGATGTTGCTATAACCAAGTTTTACTGTACATGATTAACTGCAAACTCTTGCTAGGTACACAGTATGTATATATTTTAATTAGCCTCACAATTTTTATTTCAGTTCCAGTTTAAATGTACAGTACTTGTGCCTTAGCCAAATCAGTTTTCTGGAGACAGCAGTATGCCATGAAATCTTTCATCTGATAATAGGTGAAAGTTAACAATACATGCTGTGTGAATAAGCACTGATAATGTCCACACCTTTTCAATTATATATGTTCTGGTGTTCTAGAAAGTGCAAAAGCAAGTGGGTGACTAGGCGTTCCCCCCCAGTTACCTTTGACTGGGTGAGGGCAGTGTTACTCCACAGCTATTTGTCTTATGGCCTTTCATTTTGAATTGTTTTCACACTTTGGTAATAAGAATTGGGATTTTAATTTGTTACATTATGTTGGTATTAAGAACAGTGAATATGCTAAAAAGTTAAAGCTATCCCTGTAACATGCCATGAAGGCCCATAGGGTTGTGGGACATCGAGGCTCCCACATTTTCTAGACAATCAGATCAGAGATAGCGGTAAAGTTGTCAGCCTTATGCGCTTGCTGCCCTTTACCCCCCGCCCCCCCATGAAGATTTCNACACACAGTAATCTTCCTGGTACTCATTTCTGTTAGAGGCTGAGTCAACCCCAGGGCCATAGTGCAGCTGGAAGGATTAGGTGAATTGAAAAGAATAGTGACCTCATCAGGAATCAAACCTGCGACCTTCTGGCTTGTAGCATAGTGCCTCAATCAACTACGCTACCACCTGCCCACAGTGAATATACTAATGCTTTCATTAATTTTTGCTTCTTTTATACTGTAATGTGGTCATGTGGCTAAGATACAGGTGCCAAGGAATGTATACTGGCGAAGTAAGAAAATGACCACATAGGAGCCTGAGGAAGAGGTGAAAGGATAACATTAAGATGGATCTAAGTTATAAGAAGAGGAGTTGGGTGGAGCTTGCTCATGATAATAGCCAGTCATTTGTTTTGATGGGAACATATTGAGTTTTTGAATTTACTATGTTGTTACTCCTGAAATAGCATTTAATGTTTATTAATTTGTATTTTGATGTGTTGTGACGTATGCCACCAGGTATAATCTTTGTCCTTGGCAGGGTTTTTGTTACGTCTCAGATGACAGGATGATGGTGAAGTTAGTAGTGGTAGCTGGGCAATAAATCTAGAGCTTAAGATGAAATTTGAAATTCAGTGGGCATTCTGCACATTCACAAAGCGTCAGAAATGCAGAAGATTCATCCTCAGTCTGGCTAGTCCCAAACTCAACACACACTGCATTAGTAGGAGAGTCATTACCCCTAGACTACCAGTTCTCTAAGTCCTTCCTTCCTCATTCCCCTTGGCGCTACAGCTTAGGGTGAGCTTCGGCCTCCTGAAGGAGTTTCCTCCATCAGAGGCTGATTGGTTTCTGAACAGTTTAATCTTTATTGTGTGAGGCCCAACCCCCAACCTGGATGACCAGGGTATCTCTCTTCGTCTGGTTCCTACCCCTTGATCTGTCTGGCATGGGTGACTCTACCAGTAGCTACGCCACCGCTGGCATAGCTCTCAGGCTCTCAGGAGCACTCAAACCCCACCACCACAGTGAGGTGGAGACACCATCCATGGGGAATTAACTTAACTAATTGGAATTATCAGTGATGTTAAGCTATTGTAATCTTTGAAAGTTCATATATGTAGACAGATGTTTCAGTGTGTTCGAATGGTGCTGACTGTAACATGTCTATAGGTCATCAGACTAGTGCTGAATCATGGGGTACTGGACGTGCTGTGGCACGTATTCCTCGCGTGCGTGGTGGGGGTACTCATCGTTCAGGTCAGGGAGCTTTCGGGAACATGTGCCGAGGTGGGAGAATGTTTGCTCCCACCAAGCCGTGGCGTCGCTGGCATAGACGCATCAACATAAACCAGAAGCGCTATGCCCTCGTGTCTGCTATTGCTGCAAGTGGTGTTCCAGCACTTGTGATGTCAAAAGGTAATGTTGGCAGTAATGGTACTCATGATATGTTAATGTATGCATCACGCTAAAAGTGTGGTCATCAAGTTAGCGTCGACATGTAGGTTAAATTTTTGCTTGTTTCTTTTTATACAGTTCTGTTTTGGAATGAAATTTGTTTGTGCATTATGATGGAACATGCTGTGAAAATCTGAGGCTGGTCTAATGTGTTTCTCAGCTGGTGATATATGTACTCTTTGGGGCATGTGAGAGAAGTGGCAGTACATCAACATACCTGAAATATATGCAGATTTTGTTGTAGGTTTTAGTTAATAAACATTTTTGTAAACTATTAGGAATTGTAAAAATAAAATTTTTGAATAGAAGTAAGGTAAGCTGTACAGAACAGTTCTTGCTGTCTTGTGTATTTGAAACTTTTAGGTATTTAGGTATGTTTTTATAAAAAAAGCTGGAAAAATTCTGGTAAATTGAAAATAATAGTATTCTTTGTGTATCCCATCATTGCAGGTATGTTATACATTAAGTAGGCAACCTTACGGGTGAAATAAAAGAGTCCTGTGTGTACAGAGAGACCATCAATATGGTGACTTTGGTTTTTTCCCTGCATTGAAAATAGACATTAATAATTTTCGCATGATGACATACTAATCTGTGTCGCTGAGGATAACATGATATTATTAGACACAGAATATTGGTACAGTTGGGATCATAATGTTTTATGCACATGTCTGCAAATATAATTTGCTTGGATGTTGCTGAGTGCTACATTAAAGTGGTTACTTTGCTATTCTGTGCCGCCTTTTTCTGCATACAGGATCTCTTAGAGACCAACAGATTATCAATCTCTCTGTTATTATTATATAATGCATTGTCCCTTGTATTTAAAACATCAGCATGAGGTGGAGTCCAACTGGGTCCACTTGGTACGGCAGCCACTGATTGGCCTATTGTACCAGCCCCGAGTGATTATAATGTTGGAGAATTTGGTGGAATAAAGATGGCAAGGGAAACTGAAGTGCTTGGAGAAAATCCGCCCCAGCGCCACTTTGTCCACCACAAATCCCTCTTGACCAGACCTGGGATCGAACCCAGGCCACCGCGGTGGGAAGCCAGTGACTTACCGCTTGAGCTATGGCGTGGCCTAGTGAGGCGCTATAAGCGCAAGCTTTTTTAGTATTTGAATTTTAAATGACATTTTAATGAGAATGTAAAGAATTGGTAGAGCAGTAGAAAATATATTGGAAAGAATAAGTTGACAGCATCACTTTCAGAATTCCAAAATAAGTTTTATAATAATGGCCAAAAAGGAAGAGTTTGGGAAGACATTTGGAATGATGGAAATATTCTGTTTTGTAATATCCCTAGCAGATCTAATTGGAGCTAATACTGGAAAGGATTGTGATGAGATGAGAGTTTGATCTGTTTTTGCTCTGTGAAATAGGCCTGGGCTCTATTAAATTTGTTTTGTTGTGCCATGCTGTGTTCAAGGAAATACAGATTCATGGTCATTCTGTGCTTGCTTCGACTCCCTTTTTCCTAATAAAATTTTGAACCAGTTGATGAAATGTCATGAACCTCAAGTGAACTTTTTGCCATGCATGATCTTCTCACCTTTGTATTTGTAATTCCAGTCCATTAGTATTCCCAGCACACAAACCTCTGTGGTGAGAGTGAGTGTTATTAAGAGTATATAAGTTTTGTGTCCAACTTGTGGGACAGTCATAGTTTTGGAGAACGTAAGACATTGCCATGGTGGCTTTGTTAACCTAACTGTTGAAGTGTTACTGGTAAGGTAAAGTGTCCCTGTGCTTAATTAATTAAGCACTGTGCATTGAAGGCATATGGGGGAGTGGATGTATAGACCTACGTTTTCTTGAGTGTTATTGGTAAGCTAGTAAAATGTACATAAATTTGGTATGTAAAGGGAAGAGGGGAATTAGCGTTTTTCCCTCCCAATTATAAGTAAGTAAGTAAGGGGTGGGCCATAAAAACTGGCCCCCACACTGCGACTTTCAATGATCTATTGTGCTTTTCCTCCCAGTTAGTGATTATTGACATGGAGACCACGTGAAGTGTTTGAGATTGTGTCTGATGTACAGGTTGTGGGAATCAAAAGTATTCGAAATTATGGGCAGAAACAGGTCATGAAGTTGTATGAGGTTCTATTGGAAAGTTGCTGGACTGTTATTGTTGTAACTGCCTTGGTGAAAGATGAGAGGGTAGGCCAAGTTCGCACTGTCTGGTGTATGTGTACTCAGATACAAGGTCTTGAATGTATGACCACCACATAAAATCAGAAATGTAGAGAAAGGAAAATAATAAAATTGTGTTTGATTGACGATGTTTATAATATGCATATGTTTCAGTGGTATACTTTGATGCAGCTGCAAACTGGTGGATTTGGTTACATTATTAACTTTGTATTATCTTCCTGTATGTTCCACATTGTTGTGTGCAGTGTTTCATTGTCACAGTGGCACCGACTGCAAATGTCGGTCAGTCTCATTTTCTTCCCTAAAAAGTCAGAACTATTTGCTTATTGAATAACAGGCGCTGTAAAGATTTATACTAGAATGCTTGATATAGACTGAGATATTTATTTCAGAAGGGGTTTACTTAGTTGGTCAGGCTTTAGTTCATGCTTCAGCCATATTTTTAGGGATTTGAAATTGCTGTTGGAACACTGATAAAATAAAGATTGAATGGTATGGTATATCCCCCCCCCCAACTGCATAATGAAGAGCTTCATAATTTGTACTATTCTCCAAGTATAATTAGAATGATCAAGTCAAGGAGGATGAGGTGGGCAGGGCATGTATCACAAATGGGGGAGACAAATGCATATAGGATATTGGTGGGAAAGCCAGAAGGAAAGAGACCTCTGGGAAGACCAAGACGTAGGTGGGTGGACAATATTAAAATGGATCTTAGAGAGATAGGATGGGATGGTATTGATTGGATTTATCTGGCTCATGATAAAGACCAGTTGAGGGCTCTTGTGAACATGGTAATGAACCTTCGGGTTCCATAAAATGCTGGAAAATTCTTGAGTACCTGCAGAATTGGCAGCACCTCCAGAAGGGCTCAGCTTCATGAGTAAGTAAGTAAGTAAGTAATGGTATATCCCCCATATGTTCTCATGGCATAGCGCTTAATTAAGCATAGGGACAACATTACATGTTTTTTTTCCTTCGCCCCCCCCCCCCAAATTAGTTTGTAGAAGAATAGGGAGGTATGAAGTTCTTGTGATGACTGTTAAGGTTACTGGCTGCTGCTGATGTTGGAGGCAGGAGGTCACTCTGAAACATTGGCAATGATCTGCCAAAGTGCATGTGGCACATCCAAGAGACAGTAATCTTTATGACATTAGGTACAAGCAGAAGAGAAGAAATTAAAGTATGAGATTTATAATTCTATTATATTTTAAGTAAGGAAGAGCTTTGCTACAGCTCAGTGTTTCTCAACCACCAGGCCCTTGTGTTATAGAAAAAAAAAATTGCCAGGCTGGGGTCTGACAAAGGTTGAGAACCACGGCTATAGCTCACGTCGTTAGTCATTGGTTTCCTACTGCAGTGGTTTTAGTACGGTCCCAGGTCAAGTCGTGTGGTTTATGGTGGACAAAGTGGCACCGGGGAAGGTTTCCTCAAAGTAGTGAAATACCCCTACCAATTCTAATTCCACCAAATGTTACATACGCAGATACCAATTGGGACTGGTACAATAGACCCATTAGCGGCCAACAAACTTAAGTGGACCGAGTCTCACCCCACCCCATGAAGCTGAGAAAAAAAGGGGGAGGGCTTGTTACAGAAGCAGAAAGGACATGATTTCTGGTCATGGAAGAGGGATTAAAATTGAGAATTTGAATTTTTGTGTACCTGTTCTTTGTTCACTACTGTAGAGTTTTGTGTTCAAGCGTTTGGTTGTATTATGCAGTGATGTTAGTTGAATATGCGTACTTATGGAAGGTTTTGGTTTTAGGTCATTTAATTCAAGATATACCTGAACTTCCGTTGGTAGTGGATGATAAGGTGCAGGAATATTCAAAGACCAAGCAGGCTGTCGTTTTTTTGCGCCGCATAAAGGCGTGGGCTGATATTCAGAAGGTATGATTTATAATGTGTTATGGTTGGTTACCCAGAATTTAGGTGCGTGCTGAAGGTGAGTAGAATAACACTTGCAGCTGGTTGGAGGTCTGTAATGTTTAGAACGGTGAAAATTATAATGAGCCTGAAGAGGTGGTTTTGTGTCTCAGTTGGTATAGCGATGGGCTACAGGCTGGATTTCCAGGGTTCGATTCCCAGCAGGATCAAAGGAATTTTTCTCTACTACACAGTATCCAGACTGGCTTTGGGGCCCATCCAGTGGATATGAGGAGTTCTTTCCCCAGGGGTAAAGTACCTGGTTTGTGAAGCTGACCTCTCAACTCCACCTAGTTCCAAGCGTCAGGAATGGTCAAGCTGTACCTCCATTCCTACATATGTGTTCATGGTGTAGTGTGGAGGTAAAGGTATAACTCCTCACATACTTCATTTCAACATTAGATGGAGGCCGAATCACTGCTTGGAAAAGAGTGCCCTGCACAACAGGATAGGATGCTAGTTAGCCCCGAGAATTGATTTTAACTCTTGTGAAGAAGAAAAAATATCTTGCCTGTGTTGGGTATTGAATTCAAATTCCCTGGTCATCAGACCCATAGCTTACTGAACGTGAGTGGGTGACATCAAGCAGTACAGAACTGGACAGAGATACACAGGTGCTGTGTTGGAAGGAATATGAATGCATTGTTTTAGTAGGCAGCACTCATTGATTTGAGGAAATGTGATGATTGATTTTAATTGGTCTGTGTTGTTGACAGTACGCTGATAAGAAATTCAATACTGATTTCCACTTAATTAGTTTTCCATGCAACATTGGAAGTAAGCGGGAAGTGACTAGCATATTGAGTGCATAATTTTGTTCATAGGTGTACAAGTCAAGAAGATTTCGTGCTGGCAAGGGTAAGATGCGAAACCGTCGACGCATCCAGCGGCGTGGCCCTCTCGTCATCTACGGACAAGATCAGGTGAGGATACCGTTTTATGTCCCAGGTAAGTGTCATTTGGGGTGCCAAAGCTTATGGATTAAGGGTGGTTAGAATTCAGAAAATGAGGGGGGCTGGGGATTAGTTTGAAGTTTGTGTAATCTCTGTTCCAAAAATTCAGCTGCCTGTACCAAGCAAGTTTGTTCAAGCAGCAGTTCTTCTGGCACATATTTGGGGAGTGCTTTATTTAGAAATTTGTTCACATGTGTGAAATGTAGCAGTACCACATTTTGTTACGTTATTGATGGACCTTCCATCATTTTTATTTAAAAAAACTGTTTCTTTTATATTTCTCATAGTATTACATACGGGTAGCAGGCGACATAAAGTCCTGAGTGGGAAGGCACTATTTACCATTGTTTAATGAAAATATGCTGTTTGCCATGTGATCTGCAGCATGACTGTTCAGTCACGTGAGGTGCCGTGACTTGCCACAGATAACGGTGTGGGCAGACCAAATTGTTAAATAATGAGTTATAAGGAAACAGATTTAATTTCTGAGGTAAAGTGTTCCATTTTTGTGTGAAACCCAAGTGGAAACTGATATTTACCATGACTGTATTCGTGTGGTCTTGGGTAACTTTGCATCGTGTATCTGATAAATTGGAGCAATGACATGTTGTATATTTCAGACATATGATGGAACAGTGGAAAAGTATATTAGTTTGTACCTGTTTATGTGGTGCTGCAGGGTTTGACAAAGGCATTCCGTAACATCCCTGGTGTCGACCTGATAAACGTGTCTAAACTGAACCTGCTGAAACTGGCCCCTGGAGGTCATGTGGGACGTTTTGTGATCTGGACACAGTCTGCCTTCTCCAAATTGGATGAATTATTTGGTTCTTGGCGTAAGACATCTAAACTGAAGAAGGGTTACAATTTACCTATGCCCAAAATGGCAAACACAGATTTGACTCGCCTGCTGAAAGCTGAGGAAATTCGGTCTGTTCTACGTGCTCCAATGTAAGTTTCCTCCCCTTCAGTAATACATCTTCATTAGCTATAAGCAATTAAGTAACAAGTGAGAGATGAAGCCCCATTTTTAAGTACAGTACAGTCCTGGTAATCTGGCCGTGTGTTAGTTTATCATATCCAGTGATCAGGCACCAGACAGGTGTCCATGACCTTCTGCAGGTTTCTGCAGGCAGCAGAGGCTGACTTGTGTTCAGTCGAGCTTGACAGACTGATTTATTTAGACCCTTGCTAGTACACAGTGTTTCAGTTCTTCGGTACTCTACATTCTTGTACAGTTCTTTTCATACAGTGCCGTATTTAATGCGTATTGAAGATGTCCAGTTCTGACAAAGGTAAAAAAATAATAAATTGGCTAAAGAGTATGGTGTTGGATATGCTACGATACACTTTTGTCAGTAATCTGTCTTTTTCGGTAATCCGGCGATACCTTGGTCCCATATATGTCGGATTACTCAAGATTGTGTTGTAATCTTTTAGGAGACTTCAATTCATATTTTTTGTGTTTATTTGTTATAGAGCAAGAGTTAAGGCTCTTTCAGTTTTTTTTAAATTAATAGAAAAAATTGATTACTGAAATTTGAATGTGCTGAAGAATGCTGTCTCCTGGGATGTTGCACCGTGTAGATTTGTATGTGAACTGACATTTCAGAGGAATATATTGCTTCCATCATCAGATTAGAAAAATTTGTGAGTGAGGAACCAATGTAGACTGACACATTGTGTGAAACATCAGTTCACACAACATCTACATGGCGCCACATTCCAGAAGATGGCATTCTTCATAGTCTGACATTGATCGAAAGTTTGATTAAGGATGTTATTTAAGTACCCAGGAGACACTTTGTTTCTTCATTTTCTCATGGTGAGAGTTTCTCCAGGTTGTGGTCAAGTGAGATTGCAGTGAAACCCTTATTTTGAATCTGGAAGACATGTTGGAAAGTGAAACTGGAGAGGGCTTGAATAGAAGATGCTTGTTTTGGGGAGCACAGAAATTCAGTATGTGAGAGAAAATCCTTGTTACTCAAGAACTGTTAAATGGAAGTTCCACTTAATGTAAAAATGCAGAAATCAGTTTTTCTTTAATTCCAGTTATTACTTTCATATACTGGGAGCCGGGATAGTGCAGTCGGTATAGTAACTGGGTACAGGCTTGGTGGAGGGGGGTTGGAGTTCAAGTCCTGATAGGGGCAAGAATTTTTTTTTTATTTCCATGTCATCAAGATTGGTTCTAGGGTCCACACAGCTGCCTCTTCAGTGGGTACTGGGGTTCTCTTTCCTTGGGGGGTAAAGCGGCCAGGGCATGAAACTGACCAGTCACCAACTAGTGCAGAGGTCAAGATTATGTGATTCTATACATCCTGTCCCCTATACATCTTCGTTCCATAGTGCTTAATTAGTTAAGCACAGGCATAGCTTTCATACTTATTTAATAGTAATCATTTGATGATTGTAGGTTATTGAACACTTAATGAAGAAGTATGTATATTTTGTTTATTGTTCTTTTGTTCACATGGCAACTACAGAAAAATAAGTATTCATGTCTTACTTTGAAATTTTATTTGGCTTAATGCACAAACTTCACTGACAAGTGGTGGTCGCTCAGTTGGTATAGTTCGCTTGTGGACTAAAGCCACTTTTATTGAATGAACATGATGAAGCTAATCAAAACAGAGCATTGGGTTATGAGAAACCATGATTTGATTTACAGCTGACTGATGAGATAAGCAGTTTGTACTTTTGGGATTCAAAAATAAATATGTGCTTGAAGTGGCTGAAACATATTTTGCAGAAAGCAGAAGCGTAGTGTGAAGAAGCTGAATCCACTGACTAACACACGTGCAATGCTGAGACTGAATCCATATGCTGCAGTTTTGAAACGCAAGGCAATCCTTACATCACTCCAGAGCAGGCGCAAACGGCAAGAGCTGCTTGCCAAGAAGCGAGGGGTTTGTATCTGTTTTAACTTATATGTACAGTGTGTATTTGACTGTGTGTGATGATGTCTGTACAGATGTAATGTGGAAAGTTATTTCGTCTGTTGTGAACTGTGACATTGTCAGCGCTATTGGAGAGTTGTTGGATGTTGTCCCGTTATCTGTATATACATGCTATCGCATTGCTTGATTGCAGTTTTCATGCCACAAGTAAGAATGGTTATTGTAAGATCTTAGGTATGTAGTATTGACAGTTTTCATGCCCGGTTGGGATTTATAATGTGTTATGTGGCCGTTACATTTACAGTGAATGTATTCAGTTTTCAGAGTGCAATCATAATGGTGAAATGATGAAAATATTTCTTCAGAGCATTGGGTTATGAATAATCTTGATTATTTTTGGCATTCTGATCACCACTACACTCTTTAAAAGCGATTGTATAAAATCAGATAAATTCTAAAAGGTGAAACTTCAATTATTTTATCTGTTAATAAAACATAAATAATTCTCATTAGGCTAAGTCCAGATGTAGTAAACTTGTGATTATCTGGTATTCAGGCAGCTGGAGTTCTTGTCAAATTAGCAGAAATTTCAAAGACAATTTTCGTTTTTAATAAAGTCATTCAGAAACAGACCTGCAGTGCACATGTTCACCTTCTGTGTGGTAGCCAACAGCAGCACTGCCTGTCCTCTGTGCACTTAACATTACTGTAGATGCTGTTTGAATTTGTTGTCACGTTGCAGTATATATATCAAATTTTTAACCTGTCAGTGCACTGTGTCTTGTAGGAAAACTTGTGTGGGAAAACTAAAGTGATGTATTGTTTTGATTTTGTGCCGAGTTTCTGTAAGAGTTTCCCCTCATGCAACCAGCATGCACCATTCTGCTTTCATGCTGGATAATACGGAGCTAACTGTATATGTGTCTGGAAAAACATAATTTTAAAGTGTAAAGTTATCATTTCACTGTATTACTCTTACTATTGATTTCAGTTAACTTGCCTTATACAGATACTTGATATTGTATGTACCAAACCTGATGGTCTTTATCCGTTGCTTTGCTTGTGCCGAGGAATTCATGACTTCTCATGACTACTCATATGATATTGGTTTTCTACATTGATGGTTGTTGGCACAACATGAAACCCCTGAGTTGGCAGACCACATGTTGGGAAGTATATGAGAAAGTACTCATATTGATTGTATATTATGTAACATATAGGAAGTATGTCTGCAAGATGTTTTATGTACAGGTATTTTTATCCTTGCTATTTCTAGATTACATTGGAGCCAACGGCAGCAGAAGCCAGGGCTCGGAAGTTGCAGGAGCAACGGCGTGCTGCTATTCAAAAAGCTAAGGCCGAAAAAGCCAAGAAACCTAAAGTTGAGAAGGAGGAAAAACCTACACCAGGCAAGGAAGGTAAGAAGGCCAAGACACCAGCAAAGGGAGACAAGACACCAGTGAAGGGAGCCAAGGCACCAGGGAAGGGAGGCAAGGCACCAGCGAAGGGAGCCAAGGCACCAGGGAAGGGAGGAAAGGCACCAGCAAAGGGAGGCAAGGCAGCAGCTAAGGAAGCCAAGGTGCTAGGTAAGGAAGCCAAGGCGCCAGCTAAGGAAGCCAAGGCGCCAGCGAAAGAAGCCAAGGCGCCAGCTAAAGAAGCGAAGGCACCAGCTAAGGAAGCCAAGGCTCCAGCTAAAGAAGGCAAGGCGCCAGCAGAGGAAACCAAGAAAGTAGCAGAAGGGTCTCCAAAGAAGTAAAATGTAAATTATGTTTCAGATTTGGGTCACGAATAAAAATATTGCTTAAAATTAAATTGTGAATGCTTTAATTCATCACCCTTTCCCATCTGTTTATAATAATGATGGTTGTTGTATGTCGTATTTAACTTGATCATACTGGTTGCATTTGACTAGGAGTATGTAGTTTATGGTTATATTATAAAATTTTAGAATATTGCTTTCTAAGGGAAAATGAAAATTATAATTCCTCATGCCTGCATGTGTGGTAGCTCCTCCAGGATTAATTAACCTTGTGTGTGTATTTTCATGAAACTTGGTACGAATATGTTTCTGCCGTCCACAGTTTTATTCCTACTGTAAATGTTGATATGCTGGTGCTACAAGTGTTTAAATGTTTGTGGTGAAACATGTTGAGATAGTATTGTCATGATTAGGGGCATGACTAAACATCGGGTATGGATTGGATAATTGGATTTATTGACCACCTATACACCACTCAGAACTGCAGATAATTACAGGTTTATCATTGATCTCCACAAATCACTACACACCAAGTGTTCTCCAGTCTGCAGTGTCTTCAACCTTTTTCTGGTGGAGATTCTTCAGCTTCCCGTGCTCAGGTCCTTCCTTCAAGATTTCAGTACAGCACTGCCTGCTGACTGTCAATTGAAATGGTTGCCCCAGTTTTCTTTTTTATAACTTCTTGGCGCCTGCCACAGGAACTTGTTTACTGACCTGTTGCATTGAAATGGATGTTGTCTTATTTGTATCGAGGTCTTTGCCTAGCAGTGGGTTTGTATGCCACAATAGGAAGCTTTTTTCTGCATATTTATAAAGTAATGGTGGCTTAACTAGGAAACATGAAATTTGGTGTGGGATAGGGCATAGATTGTACACTTATTTTTTCATGAGTTTTGCTTACAGTACAGGTTAGCACAGTCTGTATAGTGACTGCCTATGGGTCAGAGTTTGATTCCTGTCAGGGTCAGAATTTTTGTTCTCCATATCGTCCAAACCGGCTTTGGGTCCCACTCAGCCTCCTATCCAATGGGTACTGGGGGCTCTTTTCCTTGGGGGGGTAAAGTGGCAGGGGCATGAAGCTAACCACCTCCAGCTGGTGCCAAGGCTAAGAAAATGTGGATGTATACATCCACTCCCCCATACGCCTTCATGGTGTAGTGCTTAATTAGTTAAGCACAGGGACAACTTTACCTTACTTGTACCTTCCATCACAGGAGTCTTAGAGACTGAAAGCCGTATGATCTTGAAACTACTGAAAAGCTAGACTGTCTGAAACATACTTGCAAGATATGTTGGCATTCACAACATTGTATTCCTCTGTGGTGTAAAACTCAATGTCTGTAAACTGGTTTATCTTTTATCCAAGTATGAAGGTGGCACTGTAACAGCAGAACCCAAAGATTTTATCAGCACTGATATAACCTGTGATCAGATAAAATCCTGGGTTAGCTTAGTGGGGGGTGGAGTCCAGCTGGGTCCACTTGGCACGCCGGCCACTGATTGGCCTATTGTACCTGCCCCAGGTGATGATGATGGAGAATTTGATGGAATGAAGATTGGCAGGGGAAACCGAAGTACTCTGAGAAAACCTGCCCCAGCACAACTTTGTTCACCACAAATCCAACTTCACCAGACCTGGGATCAAACCCGGGCCCCCGCAGTGGGTAGCCAGCAACTAACCACTTGAGCTATGGCGCGGCCTCAAATCCTGGGTTAATGCCACCCACAACCCTTCATAATCTGTCTCTGTTACTTTTAATTTATCTTCCAGTCTTCGTCTAGAAGTTTCAGATTAGCCTCTTTCAAGAAATTAATAAATATCGAAGTCCATCAAAAGCAAACATTTTATGTAAAATAAAAACTTTCCATGTTTTGGCCATTATTGGCCATCAAAAGGCAAAGTTAATGACAAAGGAAACACTTCATGTGCATGATTAACACATGTTGTAAAGAAATTTCTACTATTGGTAATTAAGGTATGTTAAAATACTAACGTAGTTAAAATAAATTTAAAAAATTATAGTGTTTTTAAGAAGTTTGTGCAACAAACTTTTGTATGCATTTCCTGTCTCCCAAGGCTTAGACACTTGCCCAACCATCACCACAATCTCACTGTCCCAACCAATTTAGGTGGCCTGTAAAAATCATGGAGGTTCATGTCAAGCAAATTGCGAATTAATAATATGCATTACTAAACAGCCCATGTATTCTGGATGCCCTGGGTTCAAATCTCGGCCTGGAGACTGGCTGTCCTGAGGATTTTTGTTGTTTTCTTCAGTCCCTCCAAGCGAATCCCGGGATAGTGCCTCAAATTATGCATTGGCCTGTACCTAGCACATCTTTTCTAGTTCAGTAATCGTCATTCAACGCTATATCTTTTGAACTAATGACACAGTCGCCAGCAGAAACAAATATGCTAGACCTGTGCTTTTTTTCCGTGTAGGAAGGTTCGCAATTCAACGCTACCTAGACGGTGAAAGATGTTTTCAGACTTCCCTGTATGTGGTATTCGCCAAACCCTGCGAACTAAACGTGTGGTTGTGTAGGAAACGGCGGGTTTCTAATATTGCATATGGAGCTGGGATAGCGTAGTCGGTATAGCGATTGGCTACGGACTGGACGACTGAGGGTTCGGAGTAAGCAAGAATCTTCTCTTGTCCAGACCGGCTCTGGGGTTCACTCAACCTTCTATCCAATGGGAATCGAGGACTCTTTCCCCGGTTCCCCGGGGCTAAAGCGGCAAGGGCGTGAAGCTGACCACTCACCTCCAACTAGTGCCGAAGTTAAGACAATTTGGATTTATACATCCACTCCCCCATACGCCTTCATGGCATAGTGCTTAATTCGTTGAGCACAGGGACAAATTTACCTTTTTATAAAAAAAGTAAAGCTATCCCTGTAACAGGCCGTGAATACCCATAGGGTTGTGAGATGTTGAGGTTCCCACATTTTCTAGACAATCGGCTCACAGATGGCGGTAAGGTTAGCCTTGCGCGCCGGCCGTCCTTTACCACCCAGGGAGATTCCTGGTACTCATTTCTTTTAGAGGCTGAGTCGACATCAGGGTCATAATGCGGCTGGAAAGATTAGGTCAATTGAAAAAATCCACCTCATTGGGGCTCGCATATATACGGCTTATCGAAGGGACGAAATAATCGCCATTTCGCGTTACGATTTTGTCTGTCTCTAGGGGATCATTTTTCGCCACGAGTCTTCTTGTGGTATTCCTAAGAGAATGGATTGCTTAAAAAGATGTCGGATTTATCAACTAGGATTATGGGGAAGAACTGGTAAAGCTTAATCCCTGTTGCTCAGACTTACAGTGCTATGAAACTTTCTATGTCGAATGTTATATTTAAGCAATACAAATTTATGACCGAACAGCTTCGTAAGACCTGTGAGGTTAAGTTGTAATAGAGCGTCGTTTTGGAAATTAGCTTCGGTCTTGTAGGGACTAACAGATGGAAATTTACGAGAGGCTGGGTTTTACATGAACGATCGATTCGGAGAGCCCTGATTCCAGTTTTCGGGAGTGTTCTAGTTTTATAACGTTAGATATATGTTGAAATAAATCCCAGGGAATACTGAGAGATTTTCTGAAGACCGTATGCTGTTTCCCACCCCACTGTCTGCTTGATATTAGCAAGCTTGTGCATTTCCACGCCGGTTGATGCTCACTGGATCTGAAAGCCAACGTTTCGCCAATAATACCACCCCCCACCCCCATCCGCCATGATGCAAGCCGAATAATGTGGGATCTGTAATACTAAGAGCACAATGGGTGTACTAATCATTATATTACGCAGGAGTAAACACGCTAGTAGAATCTGGAACTAGAGCAGGCGTGTATTAAATTTATCTTATGATATAACAATGAGAATGGGTATTTTGATAAGGGAGTTAATTTATTGGTTGGTGATAGATTGACATTAAAACTTCAAATTATATGGGAGAAAAATTGATCGTCTCTGGCTGTTTCGGATCTAATTGGTTATATCAATGGTTTTATCTTGACAATCATGTCTGTCGTAAAGAGTAAAAATTCTGCTTCGTACACTGAAGTTGGTTGGTTCTAATCTTGGCGAAGTGTATGTGTACTTAGCGGTTTCTTTGTTTTCGTCAGCACAATGTGCATGTTAATTGAAATTTAACTCAGTGTAAGGAACATTTCCAGATGTTCTCGCTAGCGATTTTTCATGTCAGGAAATTATTGATTCCGGCCTTCTTTTGCGCAGAAAATTTGCCAAACTTAGGAAAGTCTCCTTGTTAAGTGGCTGAAAATTTAAACAGGAATCCAATGAAGTTATAAATCTCTAACGATGACACAGTACATAATTGTATTTCGTTTATGACTCACTTGTCCAGGACGAGACCATGAAAAGAACAGGAGTAGTACCATATATTCCAGTGGAATACACATTTTCTAAATTCAGTCTTTGCGATTTTGTGTTCCTCATTGGCCTTGATGTTTATTTCTTGCAAATACAATTATGCAACGTGTTCCAGAATAATTTCACCATGTTTTATGTCGTTTCATCCATTATTTATTGTACGTTAATTGCATTGTGATCATAAAACACGGCGCTAAACCCCGTCTCAGACACATACAGGTCGATACACTAGTGTTATAGGCTTTAAGGGGATACGTAGGGAAGTCAATAAGTAAGTTAAAAATGGAAATAGAACTTAAACAAATAAGAGTACTGATTTCAACAATGCTTTTATTTCTCAGCATAATTTCCCTGTATTTTGAGGGACTTGTCTCGTCGTTTCTCAAGCCCCTGAAAACCAGCAGCATAAAATTCTTTGGGCTGCTGTCGGAACAAGGCAGTGAGTTCTCTTTCTACAGCTTCATCGTCGGGACAATGTTCAGCCGAAGATGATGTTTAAGTGGGCCGAACAAACGGAAGTCGCTTGGAGCAAGACTCATCACCTGTTACAATTCGGGCTAGCATATCGTGTCCTTCATCGTGGTAGCGTTTGAGATGCTGTAATGCCAGACCCATTCTTTGCATTTTGTGTTGTGGGGTCAGTATGCGCGGCACCCGTCGTG